TACACCAGAAACTCACTATTGTACACTAGTAACTCACTATTGTACACCAGAAACTCACTATTGTACACCAGTAAATCACTATTGTACACCAGTAACATGCTATTGTACACCAGAAACTCACTATTGTACACCAGTAAATCACTATTGTACACCAGAAACTCACTATTGTACACCAGTAAATCACTATTGTACACCAGAAACTCACTATTGTACACCAGAAACTCACTATTGTACACCAGAAACTCACGATTGTACACCAGAAATTCACTATTGTACACCAGAAACTCACTATTGTACACCAGTAAATCACTATTGTACACCAGAAACTCACTAATGTACACCAGAAACCCACTATTGTACACCAGAAACTCACTATTGTACACCAGTAAATCACTATTGTACACCAGTAACATGCTATTGTACACCAGAAACTCACTATTGTACACCAGTAAATCACTATTGTACACCAGAAACTCACTATTGTACACCAGTAAATCACTATTGTACACCAGTAAATCACTATTGTACACCAGAAACTCACTATTGTACACCAGTAAATCACTATTGTACACCAGAAACTCACTATTGTACACCAGAAACTCACTATTGTACACCAGAAACTCACTATTGTACACCAGTAAATCACTATTGTACACCAGTAACATGCTATTGTACACCAGAAACTCACTATTGTACACCAGTAAATCACTATTGTACACCAGAAACTCACTATTGTACACCAGTAAATCACTATTGTACACCAGTAAATCACTATTGTACACCAGTAAATCACTATTGTACACCAGAAACTCACTATTGTACACCAGTAAATCACTATTGTACACCAGAAACTCACTATTGTACACCAGTAAATCACGATTGTACACCAGAAACTCACTATTGTACACCAGAAACTCACTATTGTACACCAGAAACTCACTATTGTACACCAGAAACTCACTATTGTACACCAGAAACTCACTATTGTACATTAGTAAATCACTATTGTACATTAGTAAATCACTATTGTACACCAGAAACTCACTATTGTACACCAGTAACTACTTTTCGCTACCAACTTTTGGAGCTTCTATTACTCGTATCTAGTAGTGCGAGGCTCGGGCCCCCCATACATCTGAACAGCACAGAGCCCCCACAGGCCTAAGGGCCGTATTCACAGTCCTCATGTCTGACTGATGGTGAGCCCAACCATTGGCCATCTGATGGTTGTGAAAGGCGAGTTCATTCAAGAACATGCGTCAGACATTCAATACCGTTGGGATACTAATTAACCGGGCAGGGCTACCAACATTTTAAAATCGGCTGAATGGCCCATTGTTGCCACAACCCAGGTATTGAGTATCCCAACAATATTTCCTTCAAACACGAAAAAAATGAAACCATAAAAAAAATATCACATAACGAAACGATCATTAAAGTGTTAAAAGAATATCTATGGGATATAAAATTATTATCTTCTGGTATTTGTGAAGTTTATTTTGAAGGTTAAATTTTACAGGGTGTTGGTCACACTAGGGTGGCTGATGGTTGGTGTGCTGTGGGACAGAGTCGGCTGTCACAACACAGACCGGGAAGGTGCGGTAATTATGAATAGCCATGAACAGAGCATACCACTGTCCTTTAAAAAGTGCAATGATCTGGTTAGCCATAGTAATGAGGACAAAGTTATCCAAGAAAAGGCAGTATTCATCCAACCTGAAATATGGCCTTAACTTTTAGCAAGTGGCTTTCTTAGCCGAGAATTGCTAATGTAACCATATCACGTTTATTTTGTAGCCTCGTCAACATTTCACAAAATTGTTACACAGTAGTTTGTAAGTGATTTAATGTTTCAGAATGTTAATATTATTACATTCTGTTTTACTTAATTTCTGTTACCCATTCTTGAATATTGTGCCCCAGTTTGGTTCTCAACTGCAGTGCAACTAAAACATAATTGATAAGATTTATAATAAGAGCCACATTCATTTGCGATGAGGCTGACTACTGACTAGGCTGATCTTAAACATCATCATTTTGTTGGTAATTTGTGCTTGCTTTATGAAATTTACATTTCTTACTATAAAAACCTCAATTATTGTGTACTTAAACATGCAGGTGCATTGATATATCTACAAGTAGATATTTTTCTTCTCTTAAATATTGCTTACAGTCCTTGAGTATTTAGCAGCTTGGTGTTAGTTATGAACCACTGCACACATGATCAGCTGGGATTATTTAACACTTTTTTAATAAATAACTTGACAATCTTTGAATGTACTGTATATGGAAACAAAACATTGTGACCAACACACTCATTTCCTATCAGTTTTGAATATATTCTATATCAATACAGGTTGTACCTCTCTAGTCCGGCATTCTGTGGTCCAGAAACTCCCGTGGTCTGGAACGATTTTAGTTTGTCCAATAGGTAGATAGGCAGCTATTTTTTTTTTTTTTTTTTTTTACTTATCTGAATTATTATAACAGGAGTATTAAATTTTTGACCCTCAGGCCCCAATGTGGGTCAGTGACCTATGCCCGGGCGGGCTAATCCCCTTAAAAAAATAAAACAAAGCCGTGGGAAATTAAGTCTCTCTGTCTCTCTCTCTCTGCTTGTCTATACAGAGCACAACATTTAACCCTTCAATATATATGAGCAGTAAATAAGTGTTGCTTTCATATTCTTATGTAGAGTAATGACGATATATTTTCACATGTGCGCACTTACATACGAGCAGTCTCACTTTTTTTTTATCATAAATGGTTAGCTACTTATATTACTTTTTTTTTTTACTTTTATCCTCTTCACCACTGATCGGCTTGTTAGCCGCTTGGGCGATCGGTCACGTCTCTTTTCATTTATATTTTTTTCACCAAAAGATCGGCTCCCTAGCCGCCCGGTCACGTCTCTGTCACGCACTGTTGGCAAATACTGGGCATGCACCGGCTCCTGAATGTACCTGAACCCGCTCCAGTGTTGGTCAAGTCTTCTCTTGAAAGAGCTCACACTCGGTGCCGTCACAACACTCTCTGGTAGATTGTTCCAAGAGTTTACAACCCTCACTCCGAAAAATTTGCCCTCACGGTTTTCTGGACTTGCGGCTTCTTCAATCTTGAGCTGTGACCCCTTGTGGGGCGAGTGTCCGCCAGCTCCAAGTAAGGACACTCAACTGAGTAGTGCCCCCTGAGATGCTTACACACCTCAACTAGGTCCCCCCCCCCTTGCCCGTGTGTAGTATAAGCTAGGCAAGTTCAGGCGCTCCAATCTCTCAGGGTAGCTGAGGTGCCGAAGTGCAGGCACCAGTTTGGTGGCCCTCCTTTGAACATTTTCAAACAACTGACAGTCCCTAGCATATCTCGGGGACCAGATGGGGTGACAGTACTCCAGGTGGGGAAGCACTTCACTCCTGAAGATCGTCACGAGGGACGGACCGTCTAGATATCTGAACGACCTTCTTATAAGACCCAATAATTTATTTGCCTGATTTACCTTCTTCTCACAATGGCCCGAGAACTTCAGCTCATTGTCAACATACACACCTAGGTCCTTCTCACACACAGTCTCAACTAGTGCAGTTTCTTCATCCCGTTGGGACATATGATACGCCTCCTTACCGTTGGTACGGCCCAGGTGCATCCTCTTACACTTCGTGACATTGTTCCATTTATTAACATTAAATAACATTACAGGTACTTGAAGCAACCATATTCATTTTTTACATTAATTTTACTACAGCTAAACTCAGGGTCTTATTTTCTTCAGTTTTATATGTAGAACCAATCAGTCACTGGTTTCGTAAGCTTTAACATAAACAATGCCGGCAGCCGTCTCGTCTCCTCTAATATTCCACGTATTATTAATAAATTGTATTGTTAATTTTGCACACACGTACATTAATTCAATAAGAACAAATTCAGAAACATTAATTAAAATATATATGAACAGTAAATAAGTGTTGCTTTCATATTCTTATGTAAAGTAATGACGATATGTTTTCACGTGTGCGCACTTACATATGCGATCTCTCTTTTTCTTTACCATTATCGTTAGCTACTTCTATTGTTCCATTTATTAACATTAAATAACATTACTTAAAACAACCATATTAATTTTACTACAGCTACAACCAAGGTCTTATTTTCTTCAGTTTTATATGTAGAACCAGTCAGTCACTGGTTTTGTAATCAACGAAAACAATGCTATGTCATTTCCTCATGTGTTTTAATATTCTACGTATTATTAATGAATTGTATTGCTCATTTTGCACACATAAACATTAATTCAATAAAAAGACATTCAGTAATACACAATAATGAATCTTTTGTACATAAGAGAAATGACGGTGTTTACACGATTATGCACGTCGTCTGCACGTTGGCGGGCCGTTCAAACCCGTCGAAATTCATGTTTCCGCCGTCAACATTTTTATTTATTTTTTGTGTGTTCCAATAAAATACGTTAAGAATTAAAAACTCGCGAAATTTGAGAAGCTACTATACGACATTTAACCCTTCAATATGTCTTCAAAGAGACCATGACGCAGAGAAAGTGGTGCTAGTGCTTCCAGGCATAAGCACAAGTCACTATCTATCCAGGAAAAGGGTGAATTTCCATGGTCCGGCAATTTCCATGGTCCTACACCGGTCAGGTCTCGAGGTTGCCGGACTAGAGAGGTACAGCCTGTACAACAAAGTTTGGAGGGTGAAAGGTTTTTATATACATCGGGACTGCCATAGTGCGGGTACCTCCTCCCGATGTCATGTTCCAACAATCCTGATAACAAACCATAGCAAGCCTGATCCACTGGGTCTGCCATTGTGTCTCTGGCGTCACTAAATAACCACACCTGATGGTGTTCCCGATCGGTCAGGTGATGTAACGACTGAGTATGGCCCTAAATCTGGCTCTGGGTTCCACACATTGATGAAATTTTACCGATTTCCCATTACCTGTACTTGTTCTGTTTGTCTATATTAAATGTGCTTTTTCTTTATAGGAATCAAGAACTTGAAGAAGTTGCTGTCCAGAAGGAGGAGGTGTACCCTGGGTGGACGTTCAATATCTCATCCAGGGAGTATTACCCCAGTGATAGTGGATCGAAGGTTGAGAATGAAACTAGTCTCAAGTTCTTTGTAAACATTGAGAGTGGAAGATACTTGAAGGGATTACAACAAAAGGTTAAACCTTCAAATCTACCCTGGTTGGATGATCTGGGCAAACAGAATGGCAAAAATGCTTGTTTGATTAAGGGAACCAGAAGGTTGGAAATTAGAGGCTCTAACACTTCACCACATAAGACTAGGCATACTGTTATTTCAGTAAATTTTTTTATTCAAGCTCATATGTTATTGATTTTTTCACAGGAATTAAATGTACAAGACAAAAAAAGTATAGAGAGCTCTTTGATGGATGCACTATATAACAGTTCTGAACTTGACATTCCACAAAGTTTATCAAGAAATTTTGTTTCTGCATTTGTGTATAATGACAAATTTAAAGGTGTGCAGATGAGTACTTTAAAAATTTCCATGAACAGATTTGTTAACTTTGTGAAAAAGTCTAAGTTTTCTGATACCCCTCAGACTGCTTGTGTGATGAAACCAAATCCAATAGTTTTGCACAAGACGTTAGCAGGTAATGGATGCATAACAGATAATTGTATTTGTCCACATGAAAATAATGTCAAGGAGGAACTTCAGCTCCGAAATGTGAGAGATGAGGCTGAAAAAATCAATTGTCAACAAAGATCATTAAATGAAATGAATGTTAACGTGCAGGACTGTACAAGGTCTCCTGAACAGCAGCCCCAAATGCAGGCTCATTTAGATCCACAACAGCCACCCAGTAACACACTTCAAGTAAGCAGTCATCTCGCAGATAATGTGCAGGAGCTGAAGTCTCATTCTACTGCTGAAAGTTATTCTCATTCAGGTCATTCATCACATATAGGTATAAGTGGAAAGTCCTTCAATGCACATAAGCCATCTGAATCTGAGATTAATTCTTCACTCACTGAGGATTGTGAATTGGGTATGAAAGGAGTCCTACAGTCAGATACACAGAATATTACTGAAAGGTTACTTGAAAAGTGTGGAAGAGCTTTGGATAATAAACTTGTGGAATATTCTTTGCAACCAGAACATCCATTACCTGCCAAGTCAGAGAAACATTGCAATAAAGACCATTTGTTTGGCAAAGAAACTACTACTTCAAAAACTAATCCCTGTACACAAGTCACCAATGTGAATAAATCTTCCAAGGTCAGCAGAGAAGAAACTCGAGAAAGACAATACTGTAATACAAAGTCTGTCACCTCGGAGACAAGTAACGGTCAGAAAGTACATCAGGAAATCAAGGACCGTCATCAGGAAACAAGAGAAACTCACAAAAATAAAGAAAACGAAAACTCTGGATTTTTGTCAAAGAAACAAAAAGTGGATAGTTCTCAACTAACACAGGGAAGAGAAATTAACATTACATCAGCAAAGCATGGGAATGAACATAAAATTCCGAAGCATAACACTAGAAAACATGATGAAAAGGTCATGACGTTTCATACCGTGCAACCATCCAATCTATCCTCGGGTCCATTTGGCATGAAACGGATATATTTTGGGGCTGACAGCAACAATGCAAAAGAGAAAGTTATAATTCTCATTGGAACTTCAGGGAGTGGGAAAACTACTTTGATAAACTTCATTGGCAATTGCATCAAAGGTGTCAAAACTGCAGATGAGGAGTTGATTTTTGTAAAAGTAAATTCAAATTGTGCTCCCGACCATACAACATCTACAAATGTGTATACTTTTTACTTCATGGAAGATGATATTCCAATCACAATTATTGACACTCCAGGGTTATGTGGCTCTTCTGATGCAGATGTGAGTAATAATATTCAGGCTCTTAAAACCTTCATAACGAATGTTGCTTCAAAGGGTCTTGATATTCATGCCATTGGTTTTGTTGCACAAGCGTATCAGGCATGTCTGACTCCAACAGAACGTCTCATCATAGACTATGTGTTTACACTGTTTGGGCAGGGTGTCGCTGACCACTTAATACCATTTATAACATTTGCAGACAACCAGGTGGTTCCTCCAGTTATTGAGTCCATGAAGAATTATGGAATAAGATCCAAGGCCGCCTTAAATTTCAATAACCCTGTGATTGGCAGAAATCCAAGTAGAGAAATTAATGAGATGGAAAATGCATACTGGAGGATTGGGAGCAAAAGCTGGAAAAAGTGTATAAAAATTATGCTAGAGCTGCCACCACTCTCTATTAATACATTTAAAACTGTACAGAGTGAAGTATATGCCACAACAGTAATGGACTCTGCTGTCAGAGATTTAAAAGCTGAACTGAAGATCTTCATCGATTCATGCAAAGATTCTAAACATATGACTAAAGAGGCATTTAAGAGTTGTGAGCAAGTGTGGGACTTAGCAGCAGTTGTTCACCATCTAAAACGTTCTCAGGAGTCCAATGTGTTAGATGTGGAGAGAACTGTGAAAATTTATGCAGAGGAGGTATGCAGGGAAAATACCTTTCCAGTGAATGACTGTGTCGAGCTGCTTTCTCTTGCACCTTCAAAGGGTCTTCTTGGTGCAGGGATGGGGATAATCTGTACCATTGGACCTCTTTACGAGCAAGCTAAGAAGTTTCCAAAATTAAAGGAGACTGCCACAAAGAAAACTCCAGGATTTCTATACTGTAAGTGCTGTAAAGCAGTTCATGAAATAGAAAGGAAAATTTTTGAGGGAATAATGAGCATAATACCTGGTTTAGGAATGAGTAAAGACATCATAACTTACAAATGCAAACACTGTAAATGTGATAGTAGTCGGCATGTTACAGCATTTGAAAAGAATACACAAACATCAGTTGACCTTCCCTTCAAATATATGCTTACTAACACTGAGAAGGCTATTAATGATATTCTAAAAGAACATGGTCGTTCAGGACAACAGATAAGTAAAAATCAGTATTTGCATCATGTGAATGTTGCATTAAATTGCAATTATCAGGTCTTGATCGATGATCTCGTGAATAATAAATAGAACTAGATATTGTACAATACCTGTCCTTGGTATTGATATATCAAACTAAATTAAATCATTTTCTATAAAACTTGCACATTAAAGTTAATTTGATAAAAGTAATGGATAGTTAAATGGATTTAGTCATTTCCTTTATGTTTTGGTTTAAAATTTTAGGGAAATTATACAATTGCGGTGCTGGATTTCTTTATAATTCTCCCCAGTTGCAGAAAAAACAAGTACTGTAAACAGATGAGTAATGCATTGCAAAGTGATGCTATAATGATAAATTTCAAGATATCATCTGTCAGTATTGCTTATCTTCTTCATGACATACAAACTTCTAAAGCTTCTAAACCTACGGCAGAGTAATGTATCAACATTTGGTTTCTCAACATGACAAAAGTGTTTCAGAAATTTGATAATGAAAATCCAAGTTAATTTATTTATTCTTAAACAGCACCATATTTAAATCAAGTACCGTGCACAATTGTGTTTAAAGATTGTTTGGTTCTCACTATATGTAACTCCTGAAACTGTACTGTAATCAACATCGAGTAATGTACAGTATTAATAACTGATAGGTTGTACATTTCTTATAAGTTAGAGAAAAATAGCAGCCAAATATCCTTTGATAGTACTGTACTTACTGTTGTATCCTGGTTTTAAGAATATCAAATTAAAGCATTCAATACAGTATCAAAGTACAATAGTATTCCTTAAAGTCCCTCTCAAGAGATCCCTAACTCATTAAGGTATTTTGTATTTTCTAATCTGTAATGTTTACTTAAAGGCTTTTATTGTTGAAGTGTAGTACTGTACCTGTAATGCAACATGACACCAGTAATGGTTTACGATTTATGTATTGTATTGATCTTTCCAAACTACATAGACACAGTGAACAAGTTGTGTCCAAAGTTTTGTTCCCATCAATAGAGACATACTGTATAATAATTTTGAGGTGCCTCTAATATGCCTTTCTACTGTGTTGCTACTGGTGTTGTTACATTGATGTGATTATAGTGTACAGTAGTGCTGTACTATATATTAATGGTTAATTTGTATTATCTTTACTCTTTGCCATTTACCAGTTACTACCAATTTCTTGCCCTTTCACATACATTTACCCCATATCTTTTTATTCATGTTACAGAATACGATTTCGCATTGCTGCTATATTTTTGTTTTGTTCAGTTTTCTCCTGAAAATATGCCCTTGAAGACCTTGGTGGATAAAACACTCATACATTATTACATCAGTTATAATGTTTATGTTCTCTTTCTCCTTCTAGTGCTCTGTCATATTTTTTCTTGTGGTAATAGGACAATGGTCTAGAGTATATGGTCAGAACAGGCATTGATCTTCTATTGTTGTACTTGAAGTTGATTTTTCCTAAATATTTTATGTAAGTGAAATTTTATGCAGTTCAATTACAAAAGATTGTATGTAGTGTTTATTATTATTATAATAATAATACATGTAGTATCCAGACACGTCCTGGTTAATTATCTCATTTGAAATTTACCTGTCCTGTGCCACCCATCCTATGTATACTTATAAGGAGACTATTAATAATATGAATACAGTTCCCGGCATGTGGCTTTCTGGTTCTTCAAAGTGAATTTTGCTCAGTAAAGGTATTGCTTCAACTTTTGTTTTGTTAGTACTGTACGTTCTCTACAAATAAACAATATCTATAAATAATACTGCATCTATAAACTGTTTAAGGAGTACCTGTACAGTCTCACCCAAAAGTTGGTTAACTCTCCCAGCCAGCTATTGCTGCACTGCCTGCTTCATATGTATCAACTTAAGTCTGTTACTTTGAACCTTTAGATTCATTAGTATCGGTTTTATGTTCTAGTTGGTACTGAGACAGTTTCAAACATCTGAAGCAGGCAGTGCAGCAATAGCTGACTGGGAGAGTTAACCAACTTTTGGGTGAGACTGTACCAACTAAAAATGAATCTTTGTACATAATTGTATGGTTTATTAATTGCGCTTCAAACTGTATTTACAATTCCTTCAAGATAAATGGGATACTTCTTACTAGACCTTCCAAACACTGAACTATGGCGACTGTTGAAGGGAAGAGATAACTCGCAAAATAAAAATTTGTGCTCGAGAAAACTTCCTCTTTCTCTGGGTTGAACCAGGAACTTTATCCTCTAGTGATTCTGGGTTATCGCTGCACCTTCCCCTATCTAGTTAACAGCAACTGATACAGGACCACACACTCAGTGCAGGCTAAGAGGGTTTTCACGGTCAGGAACAACCATATTCCCTAAAGTAAAAAAAAAAAGGAAGATTTCTATTTGACATGCATAGTAAGAACCTTGGATATAATAAAACATTATTTAAACTAGAGTACCGAGTGTTGAGATATGAATTGTGGGGGGAAAAAAAGAGCTTTAACGTAACCCCCAACCCCCTTCTATATCATAGTTCTCCAAGTCACCCAATAGCTGAACATGATTTGTTCACTCGACTACTGTGAGGGATTGATGGTTATATTACTACTTCCAAACCATGAATTTTGTTTTCACAACTATCAGTACTTCCTTCGTTAATGTGAAGTAGAAAACATCATGAAGAGACTGACAACTGTAGACCAAGAGGAGGCAATGTTTCCAGGTCTAAAGAAAGTTGTATCTAAATTGAGCACCTACTGTACAGTATAATGAGATTTCAAAGATAAAGCTGCCTTGAAAGAGAATACCAAAATATTAAGGCCATATTGTTTGTTGGATTAAAATTGAAATGTATAAACATCTCAAGAGGGCACTACTCGGTCGAATGTACAGTCAACCAAAGATGCACTGATTTCATCCTGGGTCTTGTACTCACGCAATATTACCTGGCAATACTTGGTAAAGTAAGACTAATGGTGAATGTGATTGCTGGATCTATTTTCGGCTGTATCTTTCTCAGAATAAATTCTAAACAAACTAAATGTAACATTTTTTTAATGATAGCTATTCATTGTTTATTTAAGATCATGAGAAGTTTCCATATGTTCGTATATTTGCTTAAATAATGAAGAAAATTGGATGTGTGAATCTTGTGGCACGTTTGGTAGTAAAGTTGCCTATTCATTAATTTTCTTCATTATTTAAGCAAATATACAAGTGTGAGCTCTTTCAAGACCAGACTTGACCAACTCTGGAGCAGGTTCATGTCCAATACTTGCCAACAGATACATGACCGATCATCCAGTTAACGAGCCGATCAGTGGTGAAGAGGATAAAAGTAAGAAGTAAATGAAAGTACTGTAGTATGTAGTATTTCAGTATGGACTATATAGTTGAGGGGAGATAGTTTATTAGCATTGATTTGAAAGTTTTGATGGAACAGTTCCAAGCAACTTTGGGACGGTGGGCGGTAAGCCGAAAATGTACAATGGTCCACACTGAGGTCTTTCATCACCTGTTTGAACACAGATGGATCAGATGGTTGGGCTTTAATGAGCTCATACTTACTAATGGTCTTATTGTACAGATCTTCTGTGGGTAGGAAGATATTGGAGGTGGTTTTAGATGAAGAGGGCCCATTTTGCACACACTGTGACCGGGTGACAGCACAAGATGGGAAAAGATGAGGAGTAGTTTCTTCAAGGTCAGTGGTGGAGCTGACAGGTAAGGGAGAGTCGACTGTCTTTATGTTGGGAACCACTAGATCTCCTACCAAGTCATTACCCAATAATAAATGAATGCCGCTCACAGGCATTGGATCTTTCCTAATGGCTATGTGCACTTCCCCAGTAATCAAGGGACATTGGAGGTGCACTTTAGCTAAGGGATAGGAAGAATGGGATGAGAGATCTGAAATTAGAACACTCATTAGTAAATGCGGTAGATATATCAGGAATGACGTTAAACAGGAGGATAGATTGTGCTGCGCCCGTATCACGTAGTATACGAATAGGGAAAGAACGAGACCCCTCTATGATTGAAATTTTTCCCTCATAGGTGAATGAAGAGAATAGATCCTGATGGGGCCTTTCCACATTGGTGGTTGCTATTGGTTTGGATTTGGGATCCAGGAATCTACTTTTAGCAATTCGACACTTTGGGTGTTTACAAATCTGGATCGTATGGCCTGGGGTTTTACAGTAAGAACAAGTAAACTTGGTTGCATCAGGGGGGTAGGTGTGGGACCTTTCGACCTACCACTCACGCCCCCAAGGTTATCATCAGAGGAGGACCTAACATGTCGGGAAGTACCACGTTCCCTACTGCCCAGTGACTCCACCAGCAAGGAGTACCCATCAGCCAGCTCAGCAGCACGCCCTAAATTAACCTCTCCACGCTCCTCCACATGCTTCAAGATGTGAAATGGTATCTTGCTCTTCTACTCCTCCAGGACTACCAAGTTTAACAAATCCTGAAATGTGGAGGTCTCTGTAGCCTCTAACCACTTCTTAAAAAACCTAAGCTTTTCTTGAGCAAACTCAACAAAGGTGTGTGAAAATGGTTTGGTTAGTTTACGAAACTTCTGCCGGTATCCATCTGGCGTGATAGCATAAGAGGTGAGGATATTCTGTTTTACGTTATCATAGTCATCAGTCTGGTCTAAACAGTTATAAACTCTACGAGCCTTAGCACATAATTTAGGAACTAACACCGACACCCACTGGTCCTTTGGCCACTCATTCTTCTCGGCTATTTTCTCAAAAGTCCTAAATGACCCGTCCATATCGGATTCATCAAACCCGGGAAAAAGCAGTAGCAGGGTTAAAAGCAGCTAGTTTCTCTTTTAATGCCACTTCTTTCGATTTAAACTCCGATGTTAAGGTGACTTCTGTCTCTCTCACCTGTAGTTCTTTCAGTCTAACCTCCTGCTCCAACTTGGCCTGTTCCATCCTTTCCTCATGCTCCAACTTGGCCTGTTCCGACATTCCCTCATGCTCCAACTTGGCCTGTTCCAACTTTTCCTCATGCTCCAACTTGGCCTGTTCCAACTTTTCCTCATGCTCCAACTTGGCCTGTTCCAACTTTTCCTCCTACTCCAACTTGGCCTGTTCCAACTAGAGTTCTTTCATTTTGATTTGGAACTTGAACTAGCTCGTTCTAGTTCTAAGGCGTCTACTCTTTGTGCTTTTTCTTGAGGGCTAGCCAGACCTGAGGCAACTTCTGAGTGAGGAGGGGTGGTGGATAGTGGTTGAAGTTTCTTGGACATGGGCGTTAATCAGTCAACAGAGGATTCTTTTAAAACTTCTTGTTGAACCAACATTTCAATTACTTGATTTTTTAACATTTCCTTAGTCAGTTGCTGTGAAAATGGGATATTGTAATAGTTGGCTATTTCTTTCCATTCTTTCTTCAGGTTATTAACACGTAATTTAGCTACGGAAGGATTTTCAATAAAATCCTGGAGATCAAAACCTGAGGTGGCCATTGTTAAGAAAACTAGGATGAATTAACTAATGGTCAAAAGATAAGATAAGTGGATTACCCTAGAAAATATCACGGCAGTGGATAACCAGAAAGTCCCGGAAACTAACCAAGTTATACCTAGGGAAATTACACTTATGAAAATTGTTCTTCTGATAAGATCCATAAATAAGGATAAGAGACTTGAAAGAGGAAGGGCGTATTACGGCATTTATATAAAGATCCGGATTAACAACCCTTGAGTAAGCAGGAAGGGCGTATTACGGCATTAATATAAAGATCCGGATTAACAACCCTTGAGTAAACAGGAAGGGCGTATTACGGCATTAAAAAAAGATCCGGATTAACAATCCTTGAGTTACTTGATTATTGACCACGAATGAGATAATGAGAAGAACAATAATTGAGGCTTTATAATTATGGGGTCCTGGTAGAGTGGGGCGTCCCAAGATATAACTTCACCCTAAACTAGTGACTATGGAACAGCCTACTCCGGAGTGAGGGTACGGCATTAAACAGATCCGGATTCTTCCCTACACTCGATAAGACTTACTACACGACTGCCACGTGTAATAACAGGTAAGCCTTATGACACTTGGAACCTAATATCCTACGTCTGTCACTCTTACTGTACGATAATACCAATATATGCACATATATATGAAGGGAGCTTTAAACCACCGTAAAGCAATTGTGAACAGAAGTGACTGGAAGGAATAATTAACAATGATTAACAAAGGGGGGGGGGAGAAATATGGCACTTAATGTTGAGTCCTGTCACGGTCGCCATTTGTTACGAGTTGGGGATTTAGAATATAGTTAAAAGTCTACCCAGATCCCAACAGGCAACAACAATAAAACAAAGACAATCGGACTATAAAAGGGTAGACAAAGGATGTGAGTTTTTGTTGTGTATAATAAAGTACCATAAATTCCTTAACAAAATATTCAGCTTTCTATAATTTACCCTTAACCATACTTAACCTAAACATTAACAGTATATACATATTTATACAACATAAAACAATCGTGAAGCAAGGTGGAGGTGGGGAGGCAATATAAGATTACAAATACTTAAGTGCGGAGCTGAGATGGCTGACGAGCAAGGCTGAGTATTGTAGAAGACGGTAGGTAGTCACTGTGCCGTAGGTTTCCAGGATAGGTGATCCTGTGGTCACTTCCCAGAGTGAACTGAACTCTCATCGAACTGGAGCTGACAAAGAAGACTTTGAGGAGGTGACGCAACAACCAGGATATGGAGAAGGGAAACCCCGGAGTGGTAACTAAGAGTAGTCATACTCGGGTTTCGCCCCTAGATGGGTAGGTAGATCAGGACAATAGATGGCGTGGTTCGTAGTGCTGGGTAGGTAGATCATGACAATTGGTGGCGTGGTTCGTAACAACATGAACACTGATATTCACTCAATTGACTAAGTTAAACTGAATTAATAGGCGGCGGGGAACACACGTGAACATACCTGGAGATACGTTGAGGAAGAGTCACGAATTCGTGATTCTCCCTCGTGTAGAGGTATATACGTGCACCTGCGGGGCAGCTTGGGCCTCCATATTCATGCCAGAAAGGTCGATCTTACCAACAACATACCTTCTCTACCATTTTGGATCACCGTATACTTAATTATGAACTCCGGTGTTCCTGATCAGGGTAATTTCCTATGTCTATTCATATAATCTAATCAGAGGTTGAGCTTTCCAGGAAAAGGTGGAATATACACGTTGATAACATCAATTCTGCGAGCTCAGGCCTGAGGCGAACAAGGACCTATTCACAGGGAGACGTTAGATCTTGGAGGTTATACCGGTTGACAGAATAATTCAGGAAATTAATGACTTTCTTAAATAGACAACTGACTCTAACTAAACTACAAACATCAGATTCTCTGATGTCGGGGCGACAAAATACTACAACTTCACTAGCGATCAGAAACTCATGGGTACCCCCACGGACGACATAAAATACGCCACTCTAGCTGGCAAACTCAACACTCGCTAACTTGACACGTCTTACTAACAATAAGGACAGTTGAGGCGTTCAACACCACTCACAATGGGTCTGGAAGGTTCCAACTGTAAACAGACATATCTAAGTTGACTCAAAACAAGGGTGTTCTCTCTCACATTCAAATTCATTTTATAGAGAGGTTGGTTTCAGTAAGTCAGAGAAAATGGGATAACGGAGGACTGAGGTGTCTTGAAGTGATGAGAAAACGGACTCCTCAGATGGAGGACTCAAAATAAAAGCAGAGGTACATGTTTTGTGGGCTATTGAGCGTAATATGAATCATTTGATTTTGGCGTTAACTGACGTGTATGACCGTGGTCGTTACAGTCACACGGGGTAACGAGGTGTATTAAGCTCACACCGAGGTATACAATATATTTTCTTTGAAGTATAGTTTTGGATCACTACCAACACTTCACATATTTCTAATACATTTATTATTTTTTCCAGATCATTATCCTTATATATTTTCATCTGATACCTGAGGTAGCTATGTTTACTAATCGTTCACAGACGTAAATATTATGACCTTCAGAC